AACACATCATGGTGAAATCAATACATTAATCGCTCCGCTCAGAATTTAAAATATGATTTGATTTTAATTTATTTTCAACCAATTTAGACCATTATACAAAATAAAACAAATGTAATTTCACACCATACAAGTTTTTGGTATATTTCCAAGTATTCGGTCATGAAAAATCATCATTGCGTTATTTACTCTCACAATAATTGAAAGTGCTGGTTATTTTAATTATTATTAAATATATAATATTTATAAAAAGTTTGGATGATGTTCGCATCAAGGAAATTGGCCCTAACTTGGCATGCGCCGAATGGCTCATGAAAAATGGGGCCCAAGTCAGATGGAAAGGTTGTAAAGAATATGTCCACCATTATGATTGCCTGCCCAATGCAACACCAGTACACCGTGAACAGTTTCAAATACAGCAAGTTTATGCAGGAAAAGAAGCATCAATCTCTCATTTAGGGTTTAGTTATTTTAGTAAGTTTCTCAATGTCTGTAATAAATATTAACAACATTCAGTTTTGGAAGATAACGATAACTACTAAAATGTAAATTTTACAGAAAATTGTAAACATATTTCTGAAGTGGAATTTGAMGGATGTAACTCAATTAATAATAAAGCATTAATGAAACTTAATATAATGAAAGATTACTTGACAAGTTTGAAAATTATTAACTGTGTAAATGTTTCTGACAAAGGAATAATGTCACTAGAACATCTTCAGTAGGGATAAGATTAGTCTATTTGATAAAGTTGAAAATGTAAATTAGTAAATAATTTGAATTTACAGAGCATTAAAATACTTGGAATTGAAAAATATAACATTTTTAAGTAAACCTGAAAAAACGATCAGCCTTCTGAAGACAAAGTTACCAGAATGCAACATAGAATACAAATGATTGTAATAAAATTATACCTATATATACACAATAATATTAGTAATATATTATGACCATTATATAGGATAACATTTACTCATATTTGAGATTGAAGCTTATTTTCCAGCATAAACTTGCTCTATTATTAGGAACAGTTTAATGTGGATTGATATGATTTTGGACAAACATTCATATTGGCTGACATATCTTCTTTAACATTTTCATCTGGTATGTGCACTGTTTTTCATGAACTATTCAGAAAATGCCAAGTTGGGTGCAATTAGTTGAATTAGCAACTGTTAGAGCTTAGAGGTGACATTATAGGTCATATTATGTACATAAACAACCGTAAAGTCCGATGAATTCTTTACAATTTTTCTATCTAATTTAGGCGTCATTTTTTATAATTTTTTGTAATTCATCAACTTTTCAGTACATAGTTAGGTCTAGTTAAACTAGCAGATACAAATTGGACGGAGAAATTACAAATTAGTACAATATTACCTACCTTTCTTTATATTCGGTTGGATATATTAGCTCTAACATGTCACTGATAAGTTTTTTTTTTTTAAATGGAGCAAAGTTAGATAGAAAAGTTGTAAAAATGTTCGTCAGCCATTTTATCTGTACTCAATACAACATAATATTACTATCAAAACTTTTCAATCGAATAAGCGCATATTTAAAAATAAAACTACCACAGTTTATTTAAATAAATAATATAACCAATCTTGACTGTTTTTAATTAAGTATCATATATACCTGATAATTGAGCGTGTTAAACTATTTARATTACAAGTTATTATGATTATTAGTGTGTGATATTAAAAATAAAAACAAATTGTAAAAATTATTTTATTTATTTTACCACTTGTAGAAACATACAATTAAATATGTTTACTTAGTGYATGTACATATATAATCAATCAATTTTTTTAATTACTACAGTTTTTATTTTATGAACATGTTGAACYGCATATAACAACAATATATATGACTACATTTGTTTAGATCACTTATTTAACTAATACATCCTGTTAAAATGAATAAACGTATAATTATACGTGTCAATAAAATCAATTAATTCTTAAAAAAAAAAACAGAATTTTACAATTTAATTTAATGAAGAAAATTTAAATACTTAAATATTAAAAATCTAAAAATGTAACCAAAAAAAAAAAAATGTTCTTTCACTAATGGCCTAGTTTTCGATGTATTTTGATCAAAAAAAAAAAAATCAATTAAGATTATTGAAAAATGGAATCCTACAAAAATATCCTATTGAATAATTA